GTTTCTCCTGTGGTTGTCCTATGAGTTGTTCTGTACGTCCAAAGTATAGAAGGCAGCTCGTCGGACCAAGAACCCCTAGCATCTTTTATTCTTGTTCGGAGGTCTTGCAATATGATTCGATTTGTTACTCGGTCAGACCGTTGCTCTGAGGATGCGAAACTGATGTCAGACGGTGATCAATCCCAAGGTTTGAGCAAAAGTTTCTAAAATGTTGGTTGTCAAATTGCCTGCCATTGTCGGTGATGAGGACCTTTGGTATCCCAAACCTGCAAATGATAGACCTCCAAGTGAAGGCTCTTAGCTTGGGCTCCGATATTGTGGCGAGAGGTTCGGCCTCTACCCATTTTGTGAAGTACTCTACTGCTACAGCAATAAACTTTAACTGACTTCTTGCCACAGGAAAGGGGCCGAGGATGTCAACTCCCCATTGTTCAAACGGGGCCGAACAGTTAATGTTGGTGAGGTCTTCGGCTGGTGAGTGGATAACATTGCCAAACCTCTGGCACTTATCACAATTTTTAACATATTCTGAGGCGTCTTTTTTCATAGTTGGCCAGTAGTATCCATGTCGTACGAGTTTAAAGGCCAAGGCCCTGGCTCCTTGATGATTCCCGCACACACCTTCATGAACTTTAGCAAGGGCCTGGGATGATTCTGATGGCCTGAGACACCTTAGGTACGGAAGAGTAATACTTCTGCGGAAAAGGACACCGCTGATCATGCAGTACCTAGAAGCTCGGTCTCTGATGCTTCTGGCCAACCTGGCATCACTTGGTAGATTTCCGTTTGTAAGGAATTCTATGATCGGGTCCATCCAGGATGGTTTGTTGTCAATGTCCATGATGTCGAGGATTTGACTGATGTTGGGTTCTGTGATGATTTTAATGTGAACCGTCCTGTCAAGGCCGTCTACCCCCATGAACATAAGCCTGGATAATGCATCGGCTTTTCCGTTGTCCTTTCGAGCAATTTTTGTAATTTCACAGCTCTTGAATTTTCGCTGAAGATCCTGAACCTTCATACAGTACAAACTCATTTTCTCCTCCTTCCTTTCAAATGATCCTTCAATCTGTCCGACCACTAGCTGTGAATCGCTGAATACCTTTACGAACTCGAGCTCTAGGCAAAGGGCTAGCTCAAGAGCAATAACGATGGCCTCATACTCGGCCTCGTTGTTGGTTGCTTCAAACTCGAACCTGAGAGCGCATTGGATCTCCGTTTGTTTGTCAGGGCTGATGATGATGACCCCTGCGCCCGAGCCCGAGGAGTTCGATGCTCCATCCACAAATATTTGCCAAGTGTCCAAATTAGTGCTCATGCTCGAGTTATTACCTGGCCCCCGAGGCCTGGGGGTTAGTTCTGCAATGAAGTCGGCTAGAGCTTGGGCTTTGATAGACGGACGCGGTTTGAATTCTATGTCAAATTCCCCAAGCTCGATTGCCCATTTCATCAGTCTTCCTGATACGTCCGGCTTCTGAAGTAT